GCAGCAGATTTTTATCCCCAAAATCTAAATTTTTAAGATTTTTTGGGGGAAGTTTTATACCAAAGCCAGGAAAGATAAGGTTTTGGGGTACTTTTGCAGTCCCCCACCTCTGTATTTATCATGCCAGAGTGGGGATTAAGCCTTCACAGATGTGCTTTTGCAGCGTGGACACGCTCTCGCACAAGAAGTTTTTGCGGAAGATCTCTTCCACAAAAAGCTTTTTGCGCAAGAAGCTAGCAGTGTAGATGTAGCCTGAGAGAGCATCTGTCAGACAGCAACCAAGATGGTAATAAGGATGAAGACTCCAAGATGGAGGAGAGCTTTAGTCTTACGGGGAAAAACAAAGACTTCAAAGCAACCGACACAAAGGTTTTAAAATTGTATACAAGGGGAGGTGGAGGTAGCCTCTTTTACTGGACCGACTTCTGTTGGTGAGATACACAGAGCTTGAAACTTGTCTGAGCTCCAAACCTCGTCCATTTCACCAATAGAAGTTGGTCCAATAAAAAGGTATCACTTTATCATGTCTCTTTAGTATCCTATGACCAAAACAACTATAATGCCTAGTCAAATGAAAGATGCAAGTTGCCAGAGAAAACTATTCATACAGCTGAAAGCTGCATGAAAACCAGGAGACATCAGGGACATGAGCAAGCAAAGGTACTTGTTTAATCTTAAAAAAACTTTAATTTTAATGTCAGCAATTTAAAGTCAAGTTATCCTCACGTTTCCTTGAGAAGCCTTATGGAATTTCACAGAATTTCGGGCCAGAAGGGGGTGATCAGATCATCTCCTGTAAATCACATCCAGCTAAATTTTACTTAGTTACCTTGGGGTTAACTTTGGTTAGACTAAATTGTTTCTGCCCTCAGGAGACTCACTGGTGAGTGCCACAGGGCAAGACCAAGAGAGACTGAAATGCCGTCAATGCTAGAAGCTGGAATTAAGTGGATGATCCCAGCAGGTGACCCATGCTGCAAAGTAAGGTGAACTCCCCCCCCCCCAACAAGTCCTTGACAATCTGACCTGGGGTAGAATTCTCTCTCAACCTCCAATACGGCCCTTGGGAACACTCACACATACGTCTACACTACTAGGTTTTTTCGGCAGAAGATATGCAAATCACGCTCTCATTTGCATATCATCTGCCGATCCTTTTTGCGGAGGAGGTTTTGCCACTAAAAAGCCCTGTGTAGATGGGGCCATTTGTCGGAAAAAAAACCCTTTTTACGCAAGATCCCGTATTCCTCAAAAAATGAAGTTTACAGGTTCTTGCGCAAAAAGGGTTTTTTTTTCCGACAAATGGCCCCGTCTACACGGGACTTTTTAGAGGCAAAACCTCTTCTGCAAAAAGGATCAGCAGATGGTATGCAAATGAGAGCGCGATTTGTGCTTCTGCCAAAAAAAGTGGCAGTGTAGACATAACCTGAGACAAGACATCAGTTATGCCCCTAAGAAAGCGGTTTCTCTGTATCTGCTCAGAACATTGGTCCGCCGTGTCTGATATCCTATATCCAGCTGTGGCCAAAGCTGTGGGATGCTTAGAGGAAGCTGAAAGGAAACCTCAGGGTGCATCTGGCCAATTGTGCTTGAAGGAGAAAAACAACAGGACATTGGGGTGCATTAGGAGCATTGCCAGCAGATCCAGAGAAGTGATTATTCCCCTTTATTCGGCTCTGGTGAGGCCACATCTGGAGTATTGTGTCCAGTTCTGGGCCCCCCACTACAGAAAGGATGTGGACACATTGGAGAGGGTCCAGCGGAGGAAGACCAAAATGATTAGGGGGCTGGAGCACATGATCTATGAGGAGAGACTGAGGGAGTTGGGTCTATTTAGTCTGCAGAAGAGAAGAGTGAGGGGGGATTTGGTAGCAGCCTTCAACTGCCTGAAGGGAGGTTCCAAAGAGGATGGAGAGAGGCTGTTCTCAGTAGTGACAGATGGCAGAACAAGGAGCAATGGTCTTAAGTTGCAGTGGGGGGAGGTCTAGGTTGGATATTAGGAAAAACTATTTCACTAAGAGAGTGGGGAAGCGCTGGGCTGGGTTCCCTAGGGAGGGGGCGGAGTCTCCATCCCTAGAGATGTTTAAGTCTCAGCTTGGCAAAGCCTTGGCTGGGTTGATTGAGTTGGGTTGGTCCTGCTTTGGGCAGGAGGCTGGACCTAATGACCTTCTGTGGTCTCTTCCAGCTCTAGGATTCTAACAGGGAATGGAAACGTTTCCTCCCGGTAGCGCATGGGCGGGAAGGAAGGGTCCGTGCTCTCAGCTTCTGAAGTCTTATCAGTAGAACCCTGCAGGTGTCCCCCTATGAAGCTCTGTAGGGATGTGCCATAAGGACATTCCTTTGAGAGGTATGAAGATGCCTGCACCTGTAAGCCCAAAGAAGCTATAGACAAGCCCACACATGGTCCTGCTGCTGCCTGCTTGGATTGTCAGGTCTTTGGGGCAGAGTGGTCTTGTTCTGTGCTTGTACTGCACCAAGGTCCAGGGGCCTCGGCCAGGACTGTGGTTTCTTGGCCCTACTGCCCCGACGCTGATGGTTCTGTGACAGCTACAGAAAGCCGATACATCCTCTAACGTCTGCACACGGACCGGGACGCATCAGTCTTCCCTGGGCGTCACCAGAAACGCAGCTGTGCCGCTCCTGTGGCTGTTCATCCTCCTGCAGCCACGATGGGCGCTAGCCCGATAGACGCAGGAGACCCACCCCTAGCTCCTTGCCTCAAAGTAGCCGCAGCTGGGGCCAGCAGACACCCACAGCCAGCTGGCAGGAAGCATGCCAGGCCTCTCCCTTGCTGGGGCGAGGGACCAGCACAGGTCTCTGGAGAGGCGGGGTGGCAGGGCCTGGAGAGAGATTTGCACCTGGTGGAAAACATGAAGCTTCGGCCCTTCTGTGCTAGGGCTGGGGTTCTAGGCAAACCGGCTCCTTGCCCGACGGCCAGCACCGCAATCCACCCTCTTGCAGCATCAACTCCGGGCGCTTTGCAGCCATGAGTGAACTCCACAACCCCACCCCGGGGAGGAAGCCGAGATTGAACCTCACTTTCCCGGTCTCGAATGGGGCATCAGACTGAGAAAGATGAAGCAATTTGTCCCAAGTCACCAACTGAGCCAGGAGCAGAGCCCGGGCGTCGGGTCTTTTGCGCTTTAACCCAAAGGTCGCTGGAGAGGTGGGGTGGGAGGGACTGGTCCCTTGCCCCAGCAAGGGAGAGGCCTGGCATGCTTCCTGCCAGCTGGCTGTGGGTGTCTGCTGGCCCCAGCTGCGGCTACTTTGAGGCAAGGAGCTAGGGGTGGGTCTCCTCTGTCTATCGGGGATGCAGCTGTTTCAGGCTCTGGATTGGCTTAGGGGATAGGGCGTTGGCCTGGGGACCCCAGGGTGGTGCCTTTGAGCCCTGCCCACCCCGGGAGCATCCTCACAGCCGCACCCTTTCCCCAAGGATGAAGCTGGCTCCCCCATTAGGAAGGGAGGCTGGGTTCTGGATTGGCCTAGGGCAGTGGTGCACAACCTTTTTCAACCACCACCTCCCTATACTCGTTTTGTGACCCCCAAGATAATTTGAGCAGCACAGCGCTTAGATCCGGGCAGTCGGGGGCTGGGCCCGGCCGTTGGCAGCCCCCCAGGAAGACATCCCCAGGTTGGGCACCACTGGCTTGGGGGGGGGGGGAGGTCTAATAAACCCAGGTAGTGACTCTTAGCTGAGCACTCAGACGCGTTACAAAGGCAACCCCGGATCCCCGGGGGAGAGACAGACAGGCCCGCCCGGCTGGGAACATTCGCTGTTAATTTTGCCCAGCCTCGGTGCGGAGGTTAGCCACGGTGGCTGCTGTCTGTCTAGACACTCCCTGTGTGACTGTCTGACAAAAGATGCGAGCAAGCACATTAAGCAGCTGGCTATGGATCTGGACTTGGAGCCTGGCCGATTGGCTGCCTCAGGCCCAGCAAGGACGGCTTTGAACTCGGCAGCCCCCCGCAACTCGCCAGCCCTAAACCCCACACACGTTCCCCGCCCGCCGGAGGCTGGTTTTGCAGTGGAGACGCGGGAAGCAGACATGAGCGGAACGTGCAGCTGAGCTCTCTAGGACATTGGGGTGGCTCCAAGCCCAGAGCTAGCCTTTACAAACACAGGCCTTTTCCATGGGACCTGGAGCGAGATCCCCGAGAGACAAGATGCTGGCAAGATGCTAGCACAAAAGACTTTGGTTCACTCTCCGCCCAGGGTCTTGTGTTCACCCTCCACCCCAGCTTGCTCCAAATCTGATGCCTTCAGCAGGCAAAAAGGAGACACTGAGGATTAACACCCTTTGAGAATCCCACCCAGCAGGTCCTGCTGGCCTGTCCCCCATCCGCAGCCACAACCTGCCTCAAAACCATCACCCCAACTAACACCCTCCTCTACCCACCGCCCCAGCAGCCATTCCCTCTCCCCCACTGCCTCCCGCCCGCCAGCACTGACATCACCAGATCACGCCCCCCCCCCCAAGTCCCATCATGCTCCTGGCTCACACCAGCTGGCCTCCTGCTGTAGAAAGAGCCGTCGCCCCCCCTGCCCAACGGGCAGCAGCAAGGCAAGCCGCACTCCCAGCTCACCAGCGGGGGGGCCTGGGCTGCCAATAAGAGGCTGCCTGACAGACCAACCCTCGGGTTCTCAGTGAGGCTCGGACCGACTGACTCCGTCAGGGCCCTGAAGGGGAAGCCCTGTCGCTCCTCGTGATCCTGCCTCGTCGCACGCTCACACGGCAGGTGCTTACCCACCCAGGGCTGGATAACTCAATAGGCAGACTAAGCACGTGCTTAGGGCACCAAAAACAAAACAAAACAAAACAAAAAAAAAAACCACCCCAAAACAATTTTTTTGGAAAAAATGTATTTCAGATTTCAAAAAAAAAAAGCATCGAAGTCGTCATCATGGGGAAGATCAGACCTCCGCAGAACACTCTCTCTCAGCTGAAAAAAAAACCCCTCAGAGAACAACAATATGTCAGAACAGACTGGATTCACTCTCCCTATTGTGTCTGGAAGCGGACGTGCTTCGTCGAGTCAGCTTCGATGAACTTCTCCAGAACTTTGCCATCAGAAAATCTAGAAGGAAGCTATTTTAATTTCAGCAGACAGGTAAGTTTTGCGTCGTTTCGAAAAATACAATTTTATTTTGCGGTATAGTATTGTTTTTATTTTGAATTACATACAGGGGGCAATCATAATCTCTTCAGTGCTTAGGGCCTCTGAAGGTCTTAATCCGGCCCTGTACCCACCCCATCCCTTTACCCCACCATTGCATTTATCCAGCTTCCCGAGCGATGGAAGCAGAGGCCACGCTTCTCACCACCCTCTAGAAACAAGGCTGTGCTCCTGAGCCACCAGCCCCAGCGAGCTTCTTTCCCTGTCCCGCTCCTACCAGCACCCTGTTCAGGGGAGCCTATTCTGCCCCATGGGAGCTAATGAGACTCTCCCGGGCTGGCTGAGGGGTGGATGAGCACCTCCCTGCTTTACCTACCTATAGCTGCTAACACTCCCTCAGTCCGTGGAAACTGGAAACATTACTGGTGGGAAAGCGTTCCAGCGCCCAGGAGCCTGGCTGCTCTGTTACCAAGAGCATTTGGGTGTGGGGATAAAGGAGGAAGAAAAAAAACAGAGGAGGAAACTGTATCGGGGCCATTGTTACAAGAGTGCTGACATCTGCTGTGGCTGACAAAGTGGGTTTTTGTCCACAAAAGTTTCTGTCCAAGTAAATCTGTTAGGCTTTAAGGTGCCACAGGACTCCTCGTTCTTGTGGATACAGACGAGGGATATTAAATATCAAGTAATTGACTAATCGAATAGTCGATGGATTTTTGCATCGTCTTATTCGATTAGTCGATAGGGTGCCTCCTCCTTTGAAGTGTAGCTACAGCCTGGTGCCAGGCTCCACATGGCGTTTCAAAGAGACTGCGCTGCACAGAGGCTGGGGTCAGCGGGGGCGTCCCCAGCTGATCCCGGGCTCCACGCGGCACTGCTGCTTTGAAACACTGCTGGCCCTGGGCTGCATGTGGCGTTTCAAAGCGGCAGCGCCACGTGGAGCCCAGGGTCTGTCCCCAAGCTCCATGCGGTGCTGCCACAAGTACTCCCTTTTCTTCCCCTCCCCCTTTTGTGCCTCTTCCTGATAGAGGCAGCAAAGGGTTGGGGGAGTGACTAGTCAAGTAGCCTGTCAACTATCCGATAAGCATTCGCCTAATGGATAGTCAACTGGTCGTTCACATCCTTAACACAGACTACCATGGCTCCCGCTCTGCTATGTGCCAGCAGATGGCACTCTATGATGTGAATCCTAATTCCTGGGTGGAGCAAGCCTGAAAAGTTTTAGATGGATCAATTTGCCTTTGGAAAATGTAACTGGGCGAAATCAAAACGTTTTCCAGGAATGTGTTGGCATTGACCAAATTTGACGGGCACAAAGTCAGAGCGATTGTCTCTCACGTCAGTGATGCTGAATGAGTGGAAACATTCATTTCCATAATCAAAGGAGAACAATGTTTCGATGGGCTTTGGCTATTACAGGTGAAATTTAATATTTGTGCAAGAATGATGTTCACGTGGAACAGGCACTTAGCACTGTCTCTTAATGCAGTGGTAGCGGTTTGCAGTAGGACCCGGGCAGAGTTTGGCTGCCACAGTGTTTGCCAATGGTTTCTAAACACGTTTTACAAGCCCCTAGGCTGTGTCTAGACTGCATCCCTTTTCCGTAAAAGGGATGCAAATTAGACACATCGCAATTGCAAATGAAGCGGAGATTTAAATCCCCCCCCGCTTCATTTGCATAAACATGGCTGCCGCTTTTTTCCGGC